AGTAACTGCAGTAGTGAAGTGGTGATACTTCCGGGAAGCTGAGTGAAAGGATCAGCCATCAGGACGTGGAATTGCATCCTGGGTGGCATCTAGGCTTGAAGAAGACGAGGAGTGCTTCTTAAGTGCTAGGAATTAGCTTTGTAACTGATCTACTTCAAAGCTAGTGGAACAGTGGACTAGAGGAACGAGTTGTTCCTTGAACCACTATAAAATATCCGGTGTCACTTACTTTACTGCAATTTATATTTCTGCACTTAGGATATTAACTGATTAACTCTAAGACTTGGAATCTGTGTTCAGCAGATCTTGTTTTCAGAGTTATCAGAAAGGCATTTGCCTTAGTATTTTTCTGAGGCTACCCGGACAGATCAGAATCCGCTGCCAAGGCCAGTTCTGATATCAGAACCAGCCTTTCTCTGTCATCAGAATCAGACCTTCTCTGATAAGTCACTTCGGACTTAGAGAAAATTTGAAAAACCAACCAGTCTATTCACCCCCCCCCCCCTCTAGACTGGTTACCATATTAAACGGGACCAACAGGGTCAAATGAAATATATTATGGGCTCTTACTCATTATGACATGTATCATGAATATACATTCCCCAACTTTAATTTATAAGTCTCCGAAATTCAATTCGGGCTGTTATCTGTTAAATTACCAGTACCGGTAATTTGGGCTTCTTTTGACCAATCGGTCGACTCCGGGCCTTTCCATGGCCCAAATGAAATATCCACCACTATATATTTATTATCTAGACCAAGATGAATAAAATATATTGTCTCGGGAAAGTCGGGCGGCCCCCGCTCCCGGTGTGGGTCCCACGTGCAATTTACTATTCACGCGAAAGAAATAATAAAAATCTACAACTTCGTAATTTCGTTAATCCTTTAATAAGGTTCAATACATGATTTACATAAAAGTTAATACATTTGGGGACGGTGTTACAAGTTCACCCCCCCTTATTTGGGATTTCGTCCCCGAAATCCACGTGTCTAATCGAAAAGGAATGGGTATTGCTCCCTCATTGAGACCTCGGTCTCCCAAGTTTCCTCTTCGACCCGATCACTCCTCCAAAGAACCTTCACCATAGGAATCTCCTTGTTCCTAAGTTTCTTCACTTGTTGACCAACAATCTTCACTGGTTCCACCGCATAATGCAAGTCCTCTCGGATCTCCACCGGTGGTTTCTCAAGAATATGAGATGGGTCTCGTATGTACTTCTTGAGCATTGATACATGAAACACATCATGTATCTTCTCAAGTTCCGGTGTTAACTTGAGACGATAAGCCACGGCTCCAATCCTTTCAAGGATCTCAAATGGACCAATGTATCGGGGGTTAAGCTTTCCCCTCGATACAAATCGAATGATGCCCTTCCAAGGAGAAATCCTTAGGAAGACCTCATCACCGACTTCGAACTCCAACGGTCTCCGCTGTTTATCAGCATAACTCTTCTGTCGGTCCTGAGCAGCCGTCAATCTATCCCGAATGATCCTTACCTTGGCCTTGGTGATCTCAACCAGCTCTATCCCTTCGAGTTTGGCCTCGCCAACCTCGTCCCAACACAACGGTGTTCTGCACTTCCTCCCATACAATGCCTCATATGGGGGCATGCCGATACTTGCCTGATAACTGTTGTTATAGGCAAACTCCACTAGGGCCAAATGCTTGTCCCAACTTCCTTGGAACTCCAACGCACTTGCCCTAAGCATGTCTTCCAAAATCTGTATCACCCGCTCGGACTGTCCATCGGTCTGTGGGTGAAAAGTTGTGCTAAACTTCAGTTTAGTTCCCAAAGATGCCTGAAACTTTGGCCAAAATCGGGATGTGAATCGTGGATCCCTATCCGAGACAATGGATATTGGGACTCCATGTAATCTCACAATCTCCTCTGTATATAGCTTGGCCAATCTTTCAAGAGGATAAGTAATGTTGATAGGCAGAAAGTGTGCACTCTTGGTGAGCCTATCAACCACTACCCATACTGCATCATAGTTGTTCACCGTTCGTGGTAGCCCCACCACAAAGTCCATGGTCACGTGTTCCCACTTCCATTCCGGGATGGTGAGTGGTTGTAAGAGCCCTGCTGGGTGTTGATGCTCTGCCTTAACTTGCTGGCAAGTAAGGCATCGACTCACAAACTCTGCGATATCCCTCTTCATACCTGACCACCAGTAACTTTCCTTCAGATCTCGGTACATCTTAGTACCTCCTGGATGCATAGCATAAGCTGAAGAATGAGCCTCCTCAAGTATAGACTTCTGGAGGTCTTCATTCTTTGGTATGCATACACGATCCTTAAACAACAATAGACCATCGTCGCGTACTCGAAAGTTCTCGACAGGCCCCTCAATGATTCGTTCACGAATCTTCTGACACTCCTCGTCAATGGCCTGACATCTACTGATCTCACCCAGCAATGTAGGTCTGACCTCAAACCTAGCAATGAGCGCCCCGCTCGTGGATACCTCCACATGTGCCCTCAATGCCTGTAGACATGTGAGTAGCGTCCCCGGCGTACTCTTCCTGCTCAGTGCGTCGGCCACTACATTGGCCTTTCCGGGATGATAGTCGATGATCAAGTCATAGTCCTTGATCAACTCCATCCATCTCCTCTGCCTCATATTCAACTCTTTCTGAGTGAATACATACTTCAGGCTCTTATGATCAGTATAAATGTGACACGTCTCCCCGTAGAGATAATGCCTCCAAATCTTCAATGCAAACACTACCGCCCCCAACTCTAGATCGTGAGTAGGGTAGTTCACCTCGTGTTTCCTCAATTGCCTAGAAGCATAGGCAATCACCTTACCGTTTTGCATCAGTACACATCCAAGCCCTTGGATGCTAGCGTCGCTATAAATGTCATACCCTATCCCCTGTATGGGTAGGGCAAGGACTGGTGCTTCGGTAAGTCGTTTCTTCAATTCAAGGAACCCCTTCTCACATTTGTCGTCCCATATGAACTTGGCCCCTTTCTTTGTGAGCTTCGTTAATGGGGACGCCAATACGGAGAATTTTTCCACAAATTTACGATAGTATCCCGCTAAGCCAAGGAAACTACGTATCTCCTTCGCATTCCTGGGTCTCTCCCAATCCATGATCGCTTTTATCTTGGCGTTATCCACAGCAACACCTGAACTGGATATGACATGACCGAGGAAACCAATCTCTTTGAGCCAAAATTCGCATTTGGAGAACTTGGCGAAGAGTACAAGCCCCAAATGGTGTTCGTGCTCTTCCTCGCTCTTGGAGTATATCAAGATGTCGTCAATGAATACTATCACAAATTGGTCTAAGTATTCACTAAACACACGGTTCATCAAGTCCATGAATGCCGCCGGTGCGTTGGTTAAACCAAACGACATCACAAGGAATTCATAATGACCATATCTAGTGCGAAATGCACTCTTAGGTATGTCACTCTCCTTGATCTTCAACTGATGATACCCCGACCTCAAGTCAATCTTCGAGAACACTATTGCTCCTCGAAGTTGATCGAACAAGTCATCAATCCTCGGTAAGGGATACCTGTTCTTGATGGTGACCTTGTTCAACTGTCGGTAGTCGATACACATTCTTAGTGTACCATCTTTCTTCTTTACGAATAGTACGGGTGCTCCCCACGGTGAATGACTGGGTCTGATGAACCCGTTGTCCAATAGTTCTTGTAGCTGGACCTTCAACTCTTGAAGTTCGGCCGGTGCCATTCGATAAGGAGGAATCGAAATGGGTTTGGTTCCCGGCTCCATTTCGATTACAAATTCAATCTCTCTATCGGGTGGAAGCCCCGGTAGGTCCTTGGGAAAGACGTCCGGGTACTTGCACACGACTCGAACATCCTTGATGTCGACTTCTTTCTTCGTATCATCTACCACGTAAGCAAGGTATGCGTGGCATCCCTTCCTCATCATCTTTCGTGCTCTCATCACGGATATGATACAAGCATTAGATTTCCCCCGATCTCCTTCAAAACGTAGCATGTTTCCTTGCTCATCCTCGAGCTCCAACACCTTGGTGTAGCAATCTACTCGAGCATGGTGCTTCTCAAGCCAATCCATTCCTAGGATTGCATCGAACTCCAACATGCTTAGAGGTACGAAATCACAAGTCAAAGGTTGACCCGTCACTTCTACCTCACACGACGGATAGTAATGATTCCTCTCCACGTCGTCTCCTAACGGTGTGGAGACTAGCAACGTTTGCGTCATAGGTGTCAATGGCACGTCAATGCCCTCGGCGAACGCCTCACTCACAAATGAGCGTTGTGCCCCGGTATCGATGAGGATCCTCGCACACCTACCATTGATCTTTAATGTTCCTACATTTATACACCATGTGAGATACATCTTCTAATGTTTTTACACATCTTTGGAAGGTTATTAGGTTCATACTAATGTTTGGAATCGAACGGGGGTCCAAACGTAGAAGAACGGGGCGGAAAAATCCGATTTCCGGGTTCTGGGGTCCACGCACGGCGTGCCTGGGTGGCACGCACGGCCGTGCGTGCATCGGACCCTTCCTGCTCAACACTGCCTCCCAGGCACGGTGCCAGGCACGGCGTGCCTGCGGCCGTGCCTGGCCGAATTCCTTCGGGGCGACACTGCCTTCCAGGCACGGTGCCACGCACGGCGTGCCTGCGACCGTGCCTGGCTGAATTTTCTTCGGGGTGAGACTGCCTTCCAGGCACGGTGCCACGCACGGCGTGCCTGCGGCCGTGCCTGGCTGATTTTTTCCTCCGGGGCGAGACTGCCTTCCAGGCACGGTGCCACGCACGGCGTGCCTGCGACCGTGCCTGGCTGAATTTTCTTCGGAGTGAGACTGCCTTCCAGGCACGGTGCCACGCACGGCGTGCCTGCGACCGTGCCTGGCCGGCAGTGGCTGTTTTCAGCTGCTTTGGCCTAACTTGCCCGAGTTTGACCCCGGGGTGGCCCGCACTCAATCCCAACGACGTATATGATCAAAGTAAGCCTAGAAATGCCCATAATAAGTGTATTACCTGCGACGGAGTCGGGGTTAGCCCGAGCATCGGCCTCGGTCATAGCATATACTCGTGCTTGGGCCCCGCCTTGGTTGACGGACGCGGCATGGCTCGTTGATGCGCCGCCTCTCCCCGTGCCGCCGTTTGACGGCCCCGCACGGTTCCTTCCCGTCGTGGTTCCTCCTCCGGATCCCGGAGCTCCTCCTCCTCCTAGTTGTGGGCAATTGGCCTTCATGTGGCCCGTGTTCCCACATTGATAACACCTCGGGGGTGCGTTGCATTTCCCAAAGTGATTTTTCGAACAATTAGCACACCTAGGGGGTCCCGTCTTTTGAGAGGAGGATGCATGCCACCGAGCATCCCTGTTCTTCTTTGCCGGTGGTGCCGGTGTTTTGAACGAACCCCCACCTCCGCCGTGTTTATCCCTCCGTGCCTGCTCGGGCGGCCCCGAACCATGCCATTTCCTCTTTTTCGCCTCTTCGGCGTCCCTCTCTTTTCTTTCATTCCATTGGGCCTCCCCAAGAAGGCCCTGCTCCACCACCTCGCTAAAGGTCATGTGGCGCGAGTACGTAGCCCGATCACGGATGTCCAAGAGTAAGGCATCCCAAAAGTGCTCCGTCATACGGTTCTCATCAACCGCGTACTCTGGTAAGAACCTAGCCAAGGTTCTAAACTCTTGTTCCAGCTGCTTAACTGTGCCGCCCTCTTTCTGTTTAAGGTTAGTGTACTCTCTCCGTTTCACATTCACCTCGTACTCGGAGTAGTATTGAGCATAGAACTCTAGCTCAAAGTCCGCCCATGTTATTTCCCCATGGTACTTCCCTTCCACGCTCTCCCACCACGTAGAAGCTATCCCTTCAAGTAGCCGTGAAGCGACAGTCAACTTCACGTCCGGTGTGATTTGCATGTCCCTTGATGCATCCTTCACCTTCTTAATCCAATCGGCGGCAACGGTAATGTCACCGGTGCCGTCAAAGGACCTACACCCCAAGGCCCTAGCCTCCTTGAGGTACTTGGAGATTCTCACAACAAAACCTCCTTCACGCCCACCTTGTGACGCCGCTGGGGTGGCCACGGAAGCTCCCCGGCTTCCTTGACCCGAACCTCCCCGAGAGCCACGCCTCGCTTGGCGCCTAAGGTCTCTCCTCAGTTTCTCTTTTTGATACCACTCAAGTAATTCGCCCATTTGGGCGAACCGGACATCACTCTCATCGTCATCATCGGTGTATGTATCCCCCCCATCATACGGGGTCTCCTCATGCTCCGTTTCTGGAACGTAGGTTGAGTCATAGTCCTCGGTGTTGGTTTCATACACCGAGCTTACATGGCCATCACTCACAGTTTGAGCTTGATGACCTCCACGGCTTCCACGGCCTCCACGGCCTCCTCTTGAACCCCGAGATGCAGCCCGGCTTCCCCTTTGGGACGCTACCGGCGCCCACCCTCTCGGATTGTTCCTGGTTGCCATTCGCCTGCCCTCCATTTCTGAAAGAAATATGGATGAGTCATTAGACTCCAATAAATGTCAATTGGCGGAAGAACGTTACAGACACGTATTGGCCCAAGTCACTACCATACCAATTGTTAAGGGTACCGTCTTAACAATTAGAGGCCTTGCAACTTAAGCACCAATAGTCCCATAAACGTCAAAATACTATGCTCATGGTTTTCGGTAAAAACTCTTTTGTAAAATTTTTTGTGAGAGGTTGATCATATAGTTTAGAACTGAGATGGCTCTGATACCACTTAATTGTCACGCCCCAGACCGAAATCCAAGCGCGTGTACAACCGCCGTATAATTAAGTGACGTCACCCGCGAGTCAACCCCGCTTAATTACACAAGGCATTCGAGAAAACAATCCATCCATACTCAGTAGTAAACATACATAACAACATCACATTTAAACCAATGAATAGCGGAAATATTCAACGGTAAGTCATAGGCCACAACCGGCCAACAACATGGGCATGCAAGCCCCAAAAATAGTTTATAATAGAACAAATATCCATGAGCAAGTGTTCGGTAGTTTAAAAGAAAATAAGGAAGCACGAACCACGTCTTCCTGATTTGATATCACCCGTGAGAAGGTGCAAGTAGCAAGCCCTAGCTTCAACCTGAAAATGGTGGGGGCCCCCGAAGGGGTCAGTACAAGTACCGAGCGAGTAGCAGGCTAAATATAGAATAACTAGCGTTTCAAGTATAAGACCCAAACATAGGGTGATACTTAAATAAATAGTCTTTCCCCCAAGTTATGAAATACTTATTAGTATATTTATACTTGGAAAATATCCGATCCGTAGATCACCGTTCATTTGGGAAAAATAGTAATAGTCAATATTCTTGACCAAAAACCCCAACCCACCCATATACCTATGAGTGTATAGGACTCCTCCTTGTCCCTATTTGTATATCATAATCTATGAGTTTTAGGATCATAATCCTTGGATACTCCACCGGTTTGTGAGTGTTAAGGACTCATAAGTCCTAGGGTCCTCCACCAAGTTTTGAGTGTTAAGTACTTTTTAGTACTAGGGTCCTCCACCATGTTTGAGTGTTAAGGACTTTAAGTCCTAGGGTCCTCCACCAAGTTTTGAGTGTTAAGTACTTTTAAGTACTAGGGTCCTCCACCAAGTTTGAGTGTTAAGTACTTTTTAAGTACTAGGGTCCTCCACCAAGTTTGAGTGTTAAGTACTTTTTAAGTACTAGGGTCCTCCACCAAGTTTGAGTGTTAAGTACTTTTTAAGTACTAGGGTCCTCCACCAAGTCTTCCTATGATCAACCTCCTATCAACCTAGATAGAGTCTATATCATCCTTAGTTACTCATAACTAATCCAATAAATAAATCTTATGTATCACAATCCATGCAAAGCCATGCAATTATATAAATGTATAATTAACTAATATCAACCGATATTAATTAATCCATTATCCATCGGTCAACGTTGTCGTTGACCGCCAATTCAAGCCTTGTACCTATCAACTTAATCATCATATAATTAAGTTAATAATACTCATTTGTGCTTCTTTTACACTTCAAGTTAATATGCGTTTTATACAATTCCTCATATCATATTTCATGCATAAACAATTAATTCTTTTCATACAACTTAATAATGTTGGCTAATCACATGTTTAAATATCTTTTAAACATCATTATGAACACATATAACATTTATTTAGGTAATCTCATAATTAACCCAAAAGTTATAAGATATTAAGCCGTCCACTCACCTTGAACTAGCGTTATGAAGTTTTACCCTTCTTGGTTGAACTCCGGTGAAACTCCGGTGACTTTTGGTCAACTCCGGCGACAACTCCGGCGACTTTTCCAACCTTGTGAAATCACTTGAAATACCTTTCACAAGTTCCTAACAAGGTTTTATAATCATAAAACCCATGTTAATACAAATAACCTCAAAAAGGTTATTTTCCGGTGAACCGGTCGTTTTGGCTTCTAAGTCCGTTCTTGGACATAGAATCACTTTCCAACCCATAAATCCATACTTATAACATGTAGAATCCTCTCAAGGATCCTTCACATGATATATATCTCATATGGTAGAAGAAAAATAAAGGAAAAGTTATAATAAGGTCATTACCTTAATTATTTCACACTTTTAGCACTTTAGCTCCTTTTTGGGTGATTCTTCCTTGATGAGCTTTCTTCAACAATGGAGGAAGGGGGATGAGGATTTTTCTTGCTCTTGGTTGCTGTGTCTTGGCCGAGATAGGGAGGGGAGAGAGGGATGGGGATGGACTTTTGTCTCATTGATCTAATGAGTGCAAAAATGGGGGTCCACCTAGGTACTTTTGATGCCATTCCCTTCTTATCAACATCCTCCTCCCATGTTCTCTTCATGCACCAGTCGACCCTCCCTCAATTTTGAGTGGAAAAATCGTGGGTTGGCCCCCACTCATGTGGGAGGTCAACCCTTTTTGTCCCGAAGTGTACAATTGGTCCCGAAAGTTGTATTTTTCGGACTGTTTTAAATATATTTTATTTTATCGGGTCAAATGAAATATATTATGGGCTCTTACTCATTATGACATGTATCATGAATATACATTCCCCAACTTTAATTTATAAGTCTCCGAAATTCAATTCGGGCTGTTATCTGTTAAATTACCAGTACCGGTAATTTGGGCTTCTTTTGACCAATCTGTCGACTCCGGGCCTTTCCATGGCCCAAATGAAATATCCACCACTATATATTTATTATCTAGACCAAGATGAATAAAATATATGGTCTCGGGAAAGTCGGGCGGCCCCCGCTCCCGGTGTGGGTCCCACGTGCAATTTACTATTCACGCGAAAGAAATAATAAAAATCTACAACTTCGTAATTTCGTTAATCCTTTAATAAGGTTCAATACATGATTTACATAAAAGTAAATACATTTGGGGACGGTGTTACACATCAAATCTTCATCGTAAACCTCCCGGGGACTTCCAAAGCTCTCCAATCACTCTCGAATTCTTTTCAACTTGTCCCGATTTCTCCTCAAGCGCCGGGGCTGAACTCTAAAATCCTTATTTTGACTCCAAATGACACAAAACTCGAACCAACGCCTGGTAAACATAACTTGAGATAAAATTGAGACTTGCAACACCTTAAAGCTAGGAAAACCATCAAAAGCCGATCCCAACACGCATCAAATGCGTGTCTAAATACGGACTTATCAGATTCCCCCACCCTTAAGCATTTGCTTGTCCTCAAGCAAATCGAACAACAGGACTTACAATAATCACCACACGGAATCAAAATAATTAGCATGCACACGTAGTTACAGGGATACTCACAGAACGGGCAGTCTAAACCAAGAAAATTCTTCCCTAAACTAAATCTTTGAACTCAAGCTAAACTATTATAACTTCTTTTGAAATCCAACTCTTACATTATCTTTTGATTTCTCTGTTTTAGCTGGTATTAGAATAGAATGCTTGCTAAGATGGTAAGATACTACATATCTGTAAGGAATAAATGTAATTAGATTTTGATGATGCTAGGTTATTTAGATTAGAATTTTAAAGTACCCCCAATTAGATTTTATGTATTAGAATTTTCAATTGTAAGTATTAGTGTAGTCGACGATCAGAGCTGCTCTGTTTTGGATCAGATCAGAAGTGCATCAGAACTGCTCTACCAGACTTGCTCTATGAGAACTGCTTCATCAGAGTTCTCTTATCAGAAGTTCATCAGAGTTGCACCACGAGAGTTGCTGATAAATTTGGACATCTGATAACCGATGAGAACTACAGATCAGAGGTACTCATCAGCGGACCTATCAGAGTCAGAGTTAGAGTTCAGTCAGAACTCAGAAAGCCATCAGAATCCAACACATCAGAAGAGCCTGATCAGAGCCCGACTAACACTTAGAAGATTTCAAGCAACATCCAACAGCTATGAATCCAACGGGTAAAAACATCCAACGGCTAGAAGACTGTGCATGAAAGGAAAGCATTTAATGCACATTAAATGAGCCTGATACGCTGAAGGATTGATTGCAAATGATTGACCAAGGAATCCGGGAAGATATATTATAAAAATAGAAACCTTCCAAAACGGCGGTCAAGTCAACAGTACGCGCATTTAATGCAATTGTTCCCTCCTCCAACGGGCAGACAACCTCAGTATATAAGCTACTCACCGAAGAACAGAAAAATAACTTTGCCACAACTTTTGCTCTGAACTTCATTCTACAAGCATTCTTGAGATTCAAACTTCATAACACAAAAACAAGAAAAAGCTTACGTTGGGAAGATTCAACCTCACAATCTTAATCCCCAACAAGAGCAAAGTTCATCCTGTTCTTCAACACTTCAAGATCTTCATCAAACATCATTTGTGACGAAGCAAGTTGGAGGAAAAACTTTGTTTTTCAAAGGATCTTCTGCAAAGAAGGGCGTCCAAGTAACTGCAGTAGTGAAGTGGTGATACTTCCGGGAAGCTGAGTGAAAGGACCAGCCATCAGGACGTGGAATTGCATCCTGGGTGGCATCTAGGCTTGAAGAAGACGAGGAGTGCTTCTTAAGTACTAGGGACTAAGCTTTGTAACCGATCTACTTCAAAGCTAGTGAAACAGTGGACTAGAGGAACGCGTTGTTCCTTGAACCACTATAAAATATCTGGTGTCATTTACTTTACTGCTATTTATATTTCTGCACCTAGGATATTAACTGATTAACTCTAAGACTTGGAATCTGTGTTCAGCAGATCTTGTTCTCAGAGTTATCAGAAAGGCATTTGCCTTAGTGTTTCTGAGGCTACCCGGACAGTTCAGAATCCGCTGCCAAGGCCAGTTCTGATATCAGAACCAGCCTTTCTCTGTCACCAGAATCAGACATTCTCTGATAAGTCATTTTGGACTTAGAGAAAATTTGATAAACCAATCAGTCTATTCACCCCCCCCCCCCCCCCTCTAGACTGATTACCATATTAAACGGGACCAACAAGTGGTATCAGAGCCTCCTTGTTCTTGTAATC